GTAATTGAGCACCACACTTGCCCTCCTTTGCCATATTCTTATTGGTGGGGGAGAGGAGATTAATTGTTTATGATTCTAAAGATCATACATGCTTAGATTTTGGGCAGAATGAAGTTGATTTTTGTTTTGAACCAAAAAGTTAGTAAATATATTCAAATACCACAGTGAACCATATGACAACTTTTCCATCACCCTCTTGTGAGTAGGTTCCAACAACAACTAACATTCATCTAACTGCTATTTCTAGGTGTAGTTTTTGTACGTCGGTGAACTCATGAACATTAATTGGTGGTATTTTCTTGTGTATGAGTAGGAGAGAAAGCGGTTGAAAGTAGTTACAATGGGCAACGGTTACAACCTTTGATGACGGTTAGATTGAGATTGAACACAATCATTGTCGACGGTTGTTTCTTTGGTTTGAATGGTTGCATTAGTAATTAGTAGACATGTTATATATATAGGTAAATATATGTATATAGCTATTTACTAATATTGATGTACTAATTAGTAAAACATCATCTGTATAAATTGACATAAACATTAAATACATGTATATATAAGAGCACATATATATATATCGTATACATAAAGTATAATAGTACTTTCTAGATTGAGATTGGTGGGAAAGTGAAAATTTGCATTTCCTTCCAAAATATTTGGAGTATATGAGTTGGAGGCCAAAGACATAAATCCCACATTGGTTCTTAGAAGTTTTTAAGAGATTCATCTTCATTTATAAATAGAGGAAGAACTTCATTCTCCACTCAAGGAATCCTCTTAAAAAGAATGCTTACATAATAAGAACTTCAAGTAATAATTTTGTATATATATATATATATATAAGAAGAAGTAGAAGAAGAAATAAAATGAGAGAGGCGATGTTCGAATTTGCTTCGCTTCCAATACTTTTTTAGAATTTCAGTTTCTGATAGCAACTGAGATATTGAGATTTTAGTTTGTTGTCGAATACAACCTATGTTTGAACGTGACTTCCTCCCTGTATTTTGGTAGAAATCTCAGAATTGAGATACTATGAGTTGAGGACGTTTGAACGTGGGAACCTCGTTCAAACGTGATAGATTTTTTGTTCAAAAGTAGTCTCTAATGGCTATTTCATTGCAGCCTTTCCAAGGGGTGTCTTCTGTCATGATTTTGAAGGGTTACACTCTTTCATTAAAAGTTGCATAGAACACTATAAATAGAGTTCAAATGCAATAACAAAGTACCAAGAATTTAACCTTTCTTCTTCTTCTTGATTCAAAGTTTCTATATTTTTTGATTTTCTATTCGGGTTGAGTTTTGATTCCAAGATTACAAAGGAATGCAGTATTTGATAATGTTAAAGTTAGGCATTGTATTCTAGGGGTAGAATTTCCAATAGCCCATCTGCATCATTAGTGGAGAAATTACTATTTCAAAGATAACGAGTGTCGTGCCTTGCCTAGCGACCAATCTTCTTCAGTTTTCTTTTTACTTTTCTACTACTTCAAATTATTTTACCACACATTTATCTACAACAAGAAATCTATAAATACATCCTTGTTCATAGAAAACTTTATCGTGAATACTTGATATACTTTCGGTCTAAATCGTTGAGTTGTTATATTTGTTTTTTTTTCGAGTGCAAGTGATCAACGGTCTAACGACATTTTATCACTATTTGTATTAAGTCTGAATCCATCAGTTTTACCTGGGAACTGCCAAATGCAAAGATTTCCTTTTTTGCGAGCTTATGTATATTGAAGATGATAAAACATGGACTTTATTCATGGCTTTATATTTTGCACTATATTAGCCACATATGTTTGTTGTAATGATTTTTCACCATATATTTAGGTTTGTTTTTCTTGTATCGAATACACAATTAAGAGAAATCCTTTATTGGCTTGTTGTCTGTGGACATGGGCCACAGTATATCGTTGTGTTTTTTCTTGTTCTTTCATTCTCTCTTTTTTTGTCTTGTTATTTAAAATTCTCAATATGAATTAAATAATTCAACAAGTTCTATAGTGTGTATATAGAAACTAGGGTCGTTAAAATTCGACGTGACACGATTAATCGACACGAATTGACATAAATTAAGCAGGTTTTGGTGATAAATGAATTGACATGCCAATCACATTTAATAAACGGGTCGTGTTCGGGTGAGATCTATCAAACCGTTTCACACGTTTATCCGTTTAAATAAAATTAGTATAATAACAAATTAATAATTATTTTAAAAAATTAGCAAGAAAAAAAGAAGTAGAGAAATCAATAATAAAAAAAAAATAAAGTAATAGTTCAAAAACAAAAGAGAGGAGATGAGCAACACTTCAAAGACAAAGACAAACTAATACCTTTTGTTTTTTTTTTAAAGCCTTCAATTCTTATTTTTATGAGATTTGGTTAAAAATTCTTTTTTTTTGAAGCAAGTGTAATTGACAATAAAAAAAATAAAGTATTAAAATTTGTTAATGTAATTTTTTTAAAATTAAACAAGTTAAATGAGTCGTGTCGTATTACCCGTTTATTAAATAGGTCGCGTTCGTGTTGAGATTTTTTATCCGTTTATTAAACATGTCATGTACGGATTTATATATTTTTCATCCGCCACCCGTTTAACTTAACACGTAATCACACGTTTGACACTCCTAATAGAAACCCTGAAGAGCAAGTAGGAAACTAGATTCATGGCACAGATAAGAGCCGGAGAGAAACTTTTACCGAGTATTTTTGACATAATCAATCAAGATTGAGTTCTTCTTCATTATTGTTTTACGCAATTTTATTCAATAGTAAATTACTCATTATATTTAAGTGTAACTCGTTATCTATATCTCGATTCAATTAATGATTTATCATTGAATTAAGATCTCGAGCAAACCCACAGTTCCTTCTTCAGGCGTTAATCAACAATATTTTAACCCACCCCCTGTTTTCATGCAGAATTCGGGTTTTTTTTGAGTGTGTGTGTGTGTGTTGGGGGGGGTGGGTTTGCATTTAACACCTACAGCAGTACCCAAAAGTAACTCCGTTCCCTTCCAGTTCTTTGGGACTCTCCGATCTGCAGTCAATTTATAATTGGCCTTTTCACGTGGGGGAAGACTTTTTATTAGTTTGTCAAATTTATTTACTAAATGTTGTATCTTAAATAATATGTTAAAATTTTATCTATATAATAAAGTAATTTATAATTTAAATCTCAAAAAATAAACAAAATAATTTTTATTATTCGCGGTTGAAATCGCTTTAAATTTTACTTTAAAGTTAATCTAACGGTTAATATTAACACTCTAAATTTAATAGAAAAATAGACCCTAAGGGTGTCTTTGAAGTGATTTTTTAAATGTATTTTTACAAATTATTTTTCATAAATACTTTAAAAAAAATAATAATGTTTAAAATCGCTCTACCACTGCCACCACCACTACCACCACCCCATTGTCGCCACCACTGTCATTGTCACCCCCACCCCCACCGTCGCCGTCACCACCACCACCGTCACCGTCTCCTACCACCACCACCTCTCACCCCATTACAAACTGATTTTTAAATTTTTTTTATTTTTTATCTATATTTATTATTTAATTTTAGATATGAATATAAATATATTTTTTATTTTTTATTTTTTATTATAATGTGCCTTCAGACACAATCAATAACTAGTACAATTATATTTGATAAAAGCTAGTGGATCCACTAATCTATACCATCACACTGATTTAAGATACAAAATTTGGTAAATGATTTAGTAAGCAAAGCGCTACTCAATTAATTTTTTGACACCAAATTTATCATTTAATTTAATTACACATAAAATTTATAATTTCATATAAATTCAACAAAAAAATTATTCACGTGCAATGCTAATAAATCTTAAAAATGCACTATTGAAAGAAATAAAACTGCAAAATTAGCGCAAGTAGATAAAAAAATATTAAAAAATAAAAAACTGGAAGGACCTTACAAAAATAAAATGCATGAAAATGAAAATAGAATGAATGCCGTCAAGAAAATTAGCTGGAAGCCATTGCATGCCATTTCAGCGACTAGACAAGTGACAGAGACAACTCTGCTTGTTGATTTTCTTCTTCAAATGGTGCTTTTAATAAAAAAAATAGTAGTCTGAGAAAACCAGGGCCCAGAGGTGGGCCGAATCACGGGTGATTGGCCTGCAGTTTAATGAACATAACCCCACCTTTGTGATTTTATATGTCTCCCGATGAGAGAGAGAGACCAACCAGAGGATGTAAATTCACCTGGCGTGGGAGGATCTACACCTCACCTCACCTCACCATCTAATTGCTATGATTCTCCACTCGCCAACGCTTGTGGAATTCTGCTGTGCATCCTCATAAAGTGGGGGTCCTGTGGACCTGATGAGATGAGCACGAATTCTCCCAAAGTTGAGTCCACCGTAAAAGTTGATCCAAAGCAACCTCTCAAAATTGACCGCCTAAAATTCAAACTAGCATCGTAGCACTTAAAACAATTGACCAAATCTTAACCACTGGATTATCATCATGCCAATACGGTAGACACAACTCCCAACTTAAGAGAGTCCGGGATGGCGGGACCTCACCTGCTTACGCTACCAATAAAACAGTTGAGTGGTTCGCACTTGAAAATTGATTAGGTTTTTACGGACCACAAGGCCCCCAACTTGAGCAGTTTTATTACTTACAACACAGTTCCACCTACCGCTTGAGAGGTAGCAAGCATATAATATATATATATATATATATATATATATATATATATATATATATGCAATTTTTCCCTACCCTAAAAAAACATAAATGCATTTTTTTCCTGTACCATAAAAAAATATAACGCAGTTTTCGTTATTCAAACTTCTTCCGTTCAAAAAAAAAAAACATTCTTCCTTCTGTTAGCCAAGAAATAAATGAACAAAAATGATACTTTCATCCCCATAGTGGTCAAATATAATGTACTGTATACTTCCTCAGTGCAAACAGCCATCCACCGATAACAAGAACGCTCCTACTAATTAGGGCAGGAGCTCGCTTTCAAGCCTCGTAACTTCACAAGCCAAAAATATCAAGAACTGAATATTAATTTACAATTATTCTAAACGATTAACAGATTTTACCCCCACATCATTTCAATATGAAACTCCAAAAAATTAATATAGCAACAAGATAACTGGAAATCCTGTGGTACACACTCAAAATTACAATATCAGTATCTCATGGCCAAAATTCGAACTACCAAAATTTAGTGTCATAAAAGACATATTTGGCGCACAACTCAAATGGCATAATCACACAAAGTTATTGTGCTTTACCTTTCATCTGTTACCTCCAGTAGATCGCTCAAACATATACAGAGTTGGGACTGTCCAAGATGATTCCAGACTGAACCCCTTCAATGTCTGCGATGCATTCAACTTGTCAATTTGACATGGTGATAACTGTTCAGCATTCATGATATACTTGAAACCTTCCTCTTCTTAGCTAATCCCTTCTGTTTTTGATTTTGCATCCTTTTGTTTGTTTGCTTATGGACCGACTTTCCAACCAAAGAAGGTTGCTCTTTCAATGCAAAACTTTTTGCCACATGCCCCAAGTGAAGTTTCTTCACCATAAAAATCCTTTTCAGTTCCCCGCGATGAGCAGTGTATGCACGTACCCAAGAGCAAAATGCATTCTTGGCCAACTTCTTCATCCTTGGCTGAGACAAGATGGTGCCAGACTTCAACTTAGAATACTAAAAATAGGAAGAAAAAAAAAATGGTTGGGGGTGTTTGTGTTTTGGGGGGGCTGAGGGAGGGAGAAGACACGCAGGGCATAATTCTCCTTAGGTGTAAGGCTTCTTACTCCTAAACCCCTTTACTAACATCTAGAGGAATGAAATTCATTTTTGGAATACATGCACTTCCTGTATCCATCATGCTTGACAAATTTCTTATCAATGGAAATAGTGATAGTGTGATACTACATAATGAAATTGGAATTTGTTCCGAAATTGCTCGATTTCCCCTTGAAATTTTGTATAACCATGAATATGACCTAAAACTTTATGCATCATGGCTTTCTATGTTTGACTTCAATAAAACAGTTCAATAGTAGTGTGTAGAAAGGGCGCCATTGCCCAATAAAGTAGTAAAATGCTCGAGTTAAAAATCACAAGATTGTGAGTTCAAATATGAGGGCAACCACTTTGTGACATAATCAAAGATCAGGTTTATATTCAGCCACCTTCCCAACGTCCTTAATTAATGGGGATCAACCTCCATACTTACTTCATTACACTATATAAAAGGAAGTCATTTATAACAAAGATAACAAGAAATGGTGTACAATCGAAAACTTAAAGTTCATCTAACTAAATTAAGTACAATATACAACTGCTGGTGGCCTTGGAGTAACTTTGCATAGAGTGAAAATAACCACGTTTGACTCCAACACAGCAGAAATTTGATATGCATTATTCAGAAACATAAACTATAAATAAACATAATATAACAGTAAGAGGTCAACATATGTGACAACTTCAAAAAGTCTATATTGCTGACTTTAGCATTCATAATAAGCTATTTACTATAACTTACAATTGGTTAAGAAGATTTTGCCCTCTCTAGGTTAGTGGTGAGGAGATTGAACTGTGTGAGAACTTGTTACAGTCACATGCAGTAGTTGAATAAGAAAGTGCAACAATAAGGGTCTATCAAAACCAAACAAGATCCATGGACAAAGGTCATACCTCTGTCGAGATGAAAGATTCTAGTGTCTTCTGCAGAGAAAGCACCCAAGGATGCATCTCTAAAGAAACTAAATTCTTGACATGGTGCATGCGACCATATAGTGGGAAACTATCCAACAATTTAAGTAAGGGATACTCTGTTAGCGAGACACCATGTTTCTCCAAGTCTTGCAAATAATCAATTTCAACTGGTTGCAGAAATAACAGAGAGTCTCCTTTTTCTCCCAAACGAGCAGTTCTTCCAACCCTGCCATATAAATTAAAGAAGCATCAGACCCTTACAGGCCCCCTGTCCATTTAAACTTCTTGCCCTATGGCTGGATGATACAGTTGATGACCAGGTCTAGAAATGCTTTGTCCCAGAAAATCAGTTGATTGCTTGAAATGAAATAGAGATTATCTTATTGTTAAAAGTTCCCCAATGGTAATCAGTATAAAATTGGGACGAATATGAGTCATAGTGATGGTTAGAACTAGTAAGCAGGAGACCACAATGGTCTGGAGTCTGGACAACAGAGAATCCCAACAACATCACATGTGAAAGTTGCAAATTGGCACTGGGTTGAGTGCCTGAATATTTATCCACTACCCCTTCCCCTTAAAGAAACAAAAAAAACCTATATTGTTATACATAGAGAACCAACAAACGCAGTTGCAGAACTTATAAACAGCAGTAATGATAACTCAAAATATAAAATATGAAAAACAAATGAAATAATCCAAAACGTAAGGAAGAATAATTATTATATACCTGTGCACATATTCAGTGGCCTCCCCAGGAGAATCATATTGTATAATACATCTAACTTTCGGGAAATCCAAGCCTCTAGCAGCAACATCTGTGGACAAGAGCAAAGCTGATTTCTCTGTTGTAAATGCATGAAATGTGGTTCTCCGGTCCTCATGCTTCATGTTCCCATGCAACCGATAAATTTTGTATTGAATAAACAGCTGTCTGAGTTCAGCTTCTGATTGTGAAGTAGGAGACCATTGAAATTCGCTTAAAAGTGAATAATGGAAATCTACAGCATCACACGTTGAAAAGAATGCCACAACCTGTAAGATAATTACGCGAGTGGATTCAACAACTTGAACATTTAGTATAAGGAAACATCAAATATGACAAAAGAAAACCTTGTTTGACAATTAAGGGCATGAGACAAAATGAGGATCTTCTCTTTCTATTTAGAAAGGAAAAGAGTGTTATTTTTTTCATCCTTTTCTTTTTGGTGGGGTGGGGGGAGGGCAATAAGTGTGGGCATAGTCAGAAAGAAATCCATGCAGTGGTGAGTGCTAGTATTCACGAAGATATTAGGGAAATACTCTGTTTAAAAACTGAAACTATAAGCATGGCATAACAACCATCCTTGAGAATGGATCACAATGATATTTGGGAAATCCTCTGTTTAAATAACTGCAACATTAAGCATGTCGTAACAACCATTTTTGAGGATGCAGCACCAAGCAAAGTAATGTTAACTAAACTCAAACTGGTCCCCCATGGACTTGTGGCTCATGGTCTGGTGGTTGGTGTTACCAAACTATAGCTTGCCAACACAGGGATTACCTCAAATATAAAGGGACCACTTTTAGTACTCTTTGAGAACAAATTTTGAAAAGAGATATTAGTAATGGAGACTACAATTAAGAGATATAGTTGCTAAACACTAATTTTCACAATATCCAATCATAAAGTTACAAAGATGACACCATTACAAAAGATGATTTGCAAAGAACAAGTGCAAGTCCAAGACTGGCTTTACCTTTTGAGAAGCTTCTCTCTCAAAAAGATTCTTTAGAATAGAAAGTAGTCCCACAAGCCGTGAACCACAAGGCACTGCACGGGAAATGTTATCACAATTCTCATACAGCGCTGCAATTAAATAGGGTCACCAAAATAAAGTTTCATGAATTTGTACCTTTCACATATCTCTGAACTAATTGCGGTGGCAGTTTATATTCATCATTTGATGAGCTTAATACATTCCCTGAATGTTCTAACTCAACAATCCTTTCAGATCCTAGAGATCCTGTATGCTCATAAGATGGCTTCGTTAGCATCTTCTCCTTATCCAGACCAATCATAACTGGATTTTCTAAACTAATTTGAGCAAGATGATTCACTTTTTCATTTAAGGTAGCTGACAACAACAAATTCTGCATCTGAGCTTCAGGTGTCCTTGAAATCTTGTTTCCCTCCTTCTTAACAGACATATTTTGCCTTGATCCCAAGATATCAAGTATTTCTTTTATCGCTTTTCCATATCCCAATTCCAGAATCCTGTACATGTGCAGGAGTACCAAGGCATTAAAAACAAGTGATTTTTTTTTTTTTTGGGGGGTGGGGATTAAATAGAGTTAATGCATTAGATTGGAAATAATACCTATCTGCTTCATCAAATATAATCCAGCGCAATTTTGTGCGCACGAATGATGATGTCTTCTGCAAATGATCCAAAAGCCGTCCAGGAGTTGCAACAAGAATGGATATACCTGGAAATAAGCTGAAGTCAAGCATGTTGATCAAGTACAAATTTTATGAAGATGCAGTTTAATCTAAGGGCAGCCAGACCATGAAAATAATGCCAAGTTAGTCTGATGCCCGGTCCATCTCTCCTAGCCCTCCCCCTCCCCCTCCCTCTCTCCTCTATCTGCTGAGCAGCTCCCAAAATCTTTAGATAATGAGAATGAGAAC